TGCGATACACGCGAGCGCGCTTGTCCGCTATTAAGATCGCGTTACGCGCTGACAGCGATGTTCATGATCTTTGATTGTAAAAAATACACAAATTGCAAATAGTGATCACAACAGGTGACGTGTACATAAAGAGTGGATAATAAGAAGCGCGAATAGATGCCATGTAGATGACATCACAAGTAATCGATATGTATAAGAATGTTTTTTTGCATTAGGAAGTCTCAAATCTTAAAATTTTTTTAAATAATCTGGGAAATGAAGACTCAGATTCCCGGGAAGTGAGTGTCCATAAATCTAGATACTTGAAGATAATGTCGTGGACAATTGGACAAAGATTGTCGGTGGCCTTGATACAGATTCTTACAGATACGCACTTTATGGTGCTGCGTTTCTGTCGTATAAGTCAGCAACTGAATGTCCAAACAGTACGAAGGTCTATGCGCTGATATCTATTTACACGTATGCAGGTTGTTATGTATACGGTGCACTCAAACAAAGCGTATAAGTTTATTAAAGTCCACATTTGAGCAACGAATACTTGTATGTAACACTCTCCTTAATAATTGTGTGTGTATGTCTTGTTTACGTATGTATTAGTATCAGTAGCAGGATTATAAATCTTTTTGTTAATACAAATAGTTGTTCAGTTAGTGTAAATTGGATAGTTTCTGTATCTAAGTACTCAGGTATCTTGTGTATAGTTTGTAAAATAATCGAGTATCCAGGAAATGTTCATAAGATTTGGAGTACCTGAGTAATATCTGAGTATCTGAGTAATATCCAAGTATCCAGGAAATATCCGAGAAACTCAGACAGAACTCAGGTACCTGAATGTTGAAGCCATTAACGTTTTTTATCGTGAGTACCGTCAGAATAAATTCTGTATACATAAATACTGTCAGTATAAATTTCACTGCTACTCGAGCCAGTTACTATGGCAATAAATAAAGAATGCAAAATTTTTATCTGGAGCTCCGTAAAAATTTTCTCACAGAAGGGTTTAACTTCAAATTATGCGAGGAAAAAAGGAACAATTCACGCTCACCGGCGAGATTACGTCTGTGTTTGGGGACACCCTGTATCGAGCTACGGCCTAACTACATTTTTGCCGGCAACCCGTTTTCTGCGCGCGTTCAGGGATTAAGCGGCCCGGCCTTGCCCGGCGACCGATGCCGTAAATTATTATTTCCACGATAAAGGCCGTCGGGCAGCGCTGCTGAGTGGAATTCCCCGGCTACACCGTAATTAATGCATCTGGCGATAACCGCAGCGCAGATCTAATCGGGCAGATTCGCCGATTGTGGCGCGGCGCGTGAAATAAATGTGCGCGCGTGGTTTGAGAAATGCATCGGCGACATAGGCGATACGTAGACGTGAGACGGATGCATAGGCGTAAGGATGATAAGAGCGTTATCGCGCAATTTATACTACTATGCTTTAACTGAGTTGACGCGACTGTCACTTGGTGATTCGAAAATGTTAACATCAGATATCACGTGAATACAAGCTGATCAAGTGCGCTGTCAAGTGCGCGCATGAAAGAACCGCCTTCTCGGCGGCGGCGACAGACACGTCTCGTGGTCGTAAAAATAAGAAAATTATCCGACGGTAAATTCAAGCTATTAATTAATTATCATACCTCAACCACAACTGTCACATCAAACGTTACACGAGGACGACCCACGAACATCGGGAGCAAAAGTTACACATGAAGAAGCTTCCTCTTCGCGGCGCGCGTTTCCCTCGCCGTGGACATATCTTGCTTCTGGAAGAGCGAGAGAGAAAAGACCGGCGTGTCTCTCTCGCTGCAAGTACGGTCAAGGGAAAGGACGAAAGAGAAGAAAAAGAAAAGGCGAGTCCACGTGGTCCGAGTGTGCGAACGCGCGGTGAGCGGTCCGCCGCGCTCTCGCACGAGTTTCATAAAGGATTTCCGCCGCTCTTTTCTCCCCTGGAAGAGGGCGACTATGGCGCGTTTAGAGCGCGCTCTCGCGCATTGTATAATAATGTATCGCATATGGCGCATCTTGTAAAACTCTGCGGGCGTCCCCCCACCTTGTCCCGCCCGAGGATGAAGACCTGAATGTGGTCGTACCCGGGGCTGGTTCATTCATCCGGCCCGACGGACTTTAGAGGTGACGAAAGGTCCCGAAAAACCGCCTCCAGGTCTCTTTCGGCGGGGGGCAAACTCTGTAGATTTGAGTCGGCTTCGTTCTAATCGCCGGCTACGTTTACCTGCGATGGTTGCTTGGTTGGTTGGTCGCTCGCTCGCTCGGTCGGACGTAGAATAGTACGGGGTGTGGTATGTTTCGACGAGAAGTAAATAGGGAGAAGAATGTTTTATGGGATTGAGGGTAACACAGTTGGGTTGTAAGAGCTTTATTTTGCGTTATGTGTCGTGTCACAATGTCTCGCGCTGTTTCACGCTACGTTACGTTCTCGTGTGTTACGGTAACCCTCCCTCTCTGAACATAAATTATTATTCTTCCGGAAAACATCCTGACTTGATGAAAACAGATTAGTGGCGGAAGATTGCCTGGCTAAATTTGCGCAATCATAAATCCTGATTTCAAATCTGAAGTAAGTGAAAATAGATTGTTCAATAATTCATGGCTATACTGTACATTTTTTCACATTCCAATCAATCTCTTTGGTTGAAAAACGTTATTTGAATTTTTCAGCAAATATTATTTTATGAAACTACAATGAATGATTTCTGTTGAAGTTTGTTTTCCAAGCTACATTTTCCACGCATTGTCTACTTTCAATTTTCGCCGGCCGTCGCTATTCATCCGGCCGTGTATTTCGGTCGATTGGCCAACAAGGCGCGACAGATCCGATTAGGCGAAAATATGCGGTCTCACACCGCTGGAGACAAACCAGCGTCAGTCGCGATCATCGCCCCGTTGGGACTAGGGTAGCCAATAGGATTAGAAACGATGACAATGCGCCCCGAGTCAAGAGACTCTTGTCAAAGAGCGAGAGACTTGGTGCGGTTGATCCCGCAGATTAGGTCTTGCGAAGGACCCATTGAATTTTCCTACGATTTCTTACGTTTCGCGAAAGCTGTCACCAAAAGGATACCCTCCCTTGTAACAAAAATATCGCGACGTTTTAGATCGATCTCTCTCTCGAAATTTAAATCGTTTATTCCATTTTTGTGCACTCCTTCACAATTTACTTAGGATTTCACTATTGTCGCGGAAACTAGAATTGGTTACTTTCAAAAATATCACACGTTTGTGTGTCCAAATATAATGTGGCTTCAAGACAATATCGTACGTACAAGACAATATCGGATGTAAATTACCCCGTTCCAAAAGTCATTTTGCTTACACATATTTATGCTGCATTTCCTCGTTTTTCAATCGTGCAGATTCTATCACGGATGTCATTTCGTGTATTCACATCCTTCCTTTGTTCCCACTTATTTCATTCTCATAGATATCTTTGATCTATGGAAACTTCGCTTGCGACATTGTATTTCGAACGAATCCTTCATTCACTTGGAGAATCTGACAACGAAAAAATCTGCAGTATCAAGATGCGTATCAAAGACGAGAGGATTCAAAATCTTAGAATCTCCAAGAATACGTTGATTTAAAAACACAGAAATAAGGTAATCCAAGTATCTAGTAACTTTGGAATATCAAAATAACGTTGAAACATAGTAAAACAAGGACGAAAGAAAGAAATTCAAGATGTGATGATTCAAATATCAAGTAATGGTGTAGGTATCCGCATTTAAATATCAATTAGGTATTTAGGTATCCAATTATTGTGAGAATTACTTGGTATATTCAAGTATTATATGTGATTATCGTACATGATACAAATTATATAAGTATTGTTCGAGTAGTACCAAGTGATGCTTGGATCAGAGTATCAACCCCCAGTTGTTCCATGTAATATCCGAATATCCAGATGATACCTGCGAGTTTGAGTACTAGATAAATACTATCCAAGTATAGGAACAATCGGTTCATATTGACGGCGCTAATACAGAGTGTTCGACATGCGCGGAAACTGAAGGACCTGAAGGTCCTACAGTGAGACTTAAGGGCGGTGCGCGAGATCTGGACCTTCATGGGAACGTTTATTTCGCCGTCACCAAAATATCCATTTCCGATCCCGACTCCAACGCTGGCTGGGACGTCGTAAACGTATGCACACGCTTTGGTAGGACCGGCTCCGGGATCAGCGTTATAAGATCGGCCACGTCTCTATCTAGGTTCTTTAGTAGGGGCGCGCGGGGAGGTAATATATTTGGAAGGCGAAGAGCGAGATAGGTGGTTAGGTAGGTAGCCGCGGCGTGGTTGTCCGGCAGATAGTCGACCGGCCCCGGTAATGGAGACTGCAGGGTGCCGCTAATGCAGTAGCGATGTCACGGCGCCCGGTGCATCGGTATATTCCTTCTTCCCTTTCTGCCCTTTTGCTCCTCCGCGCGCGCGGCTACCATACCGTATCCTCTCCCGCCTTCGCGATATCAACCGACGTATATGTCCTCCCTCTTTTTCTTTCTTTTTATCTCTTTCTCACTACCCGTCGTTCGACGTGGTCTTTCTTTAACAGAACCCCATTGAGGATGCTCTGATATCGAGGAATATCGCGGCGCGATAGTAGTCAGACGTGCGGAATGTGTTCATACAGGATAACGTTGCGGTGTCACGACCGGGTTTATTTTCGTGCGAATTACTTTTTCTTCGATTAATTGGACGTGAGATCCATCGGCAGGGATAAAGACCCTTGCACTTTTATGTATAATAGTGTATGTGCAGTCTGTGTTCTGCTCTTTGATCGTGATCTGCCTCGTAGCGTGATCTTTATGGTGCGCAGACTTGAACGTTTCGTCTTCGTTCACTCAGACTGTAAAGATCAAACGCAAGAAGAGTACACAAAATGTGCCAACACACTAATGCGACTTGGTGCGACATAATGTGTACAATATAAAGAAGAAAGCATGCATTACAGTGTAACATTGATCTCTTTCGTTCTGTTCGCAGAATGTTCGGTAGCATGAAGCGGTGCGCGCGCTGTCAAGCAGCGATCCTGGCGTCCGAGTTAGTGATGCGTGCGCGCGAGCTCGTCTTCCACGTGCGCTGCTTCTCGTGCGCGGCTTGTGCAGTGCCCTTAACGAAGGGTGACCACTTCGGCATGCGAGATGGCGCCGTGCTCTGTCGACTGCACTACGAGATGGGCGCCGAGCTGCATCCGGCTCAAAGCCCGCCGGTTCCGGTCTATCCGCCGCACTATCCTGGCCAGCCGCCTTTTCCCTCGCCCGAGTTCCTTCATCATCATCATCATCATCACGCGCCACCGCATCCTCATCACTCGATGCACCCCCAGCACCCTCACAGTCACGTCAGCCCGGTACCCCTGCAGCCTTCGACACCCTCCGTACCCGATGCGTCTTCACCCGCCAAGGTACCTTACTTCAATGGCGCCGCCACCGTTGTTCCGCCGCCTAGACAGAAGGGCAGACCCAGAAAGAGGAAGCCGAAGGATCTTGAAACCATGACCGCAAGTCTTGGTGAGTGCGAGCTTTAAGAATTGTTTAGCGGAGATCCCCCTGCAGATTTAGTTGGGAGGGATCAATGTCGCGATGTCGTGATTGTTGTTTCAACGTGAAGAGATTCAACGTGAGGCAGCTCGGGAATGTGAAAGGGATCGAGCATAGCTCTGAACTCCCAGATTCAGCCCATGAACTCGAAATATCAGGATTTTCCTGTTCTCAAATCTTTAAAATTTTGTAACATCAAATTTGCCGACCTCAAACGTACACCACTTTTAGGATTTTAGTCTCTCAATTTGGAAACTACAGACTTATGATCTCTAAAACTGTGAAAAATCCTAAAGTCCACAGATCGGGAGGTCAGATTTGTCCTCGTTCTCGGAAAGCAACCTCTGATTGCACCTCGTGGGGAAAGCATGACTAGCCCGACGTGATTTACGGGCGTGCGTGGGCGCGCGACGTTTGCCACCGAAGCCTGATAAAATTTGTCGGTGCGACATAAATTTCCGAATCCAATCCCCAACAAAGCGCGTACGCGTCGCGTTGTGCTCGCGTGGGCGACTCGTCGGCAGTGTTGAGAACTTAATTTCCGATTGTTGACCAGTCGTGGGAACAACTGGTTCCAGCTGGTTCAAGCTACAGAACCACCACTGCGGACCACAAAGCTTCCACTTGCCACCTCTCCTTTCTCTGTCTCTTTTTACTCTCCTCGCTGGAGGAGGTCGTTCGATGTCGCCGTGTCGCCGTGAAAAAGGATTGTAGCGGCGTGCAGGTGATCGTCCGGTACCACAAGCTGGTTTCTGATCTATCGTGGATCATGCCGGCAATTTTTCATGGCCATTACTAAGGGTCGCGACGAACCTTTGCTTTTTAGGCGAGATATATAACCGTGCGTTTAGTAATTGCATTTGAATTTTGGTTGTAGTTCGAAGTAAGAGCCATATTGTGCGCAAACGCATAATCCGACTATGTCAGGAAATTACTCGTATTAATTATTTGACACACATACATCCCGATATGGCGAATAGCAAGTAGTCTTATGTTAATGGGTTTGGATATATCGTCAACATTCTTTTACAATTTATAGTAGAGATCATATAATCTCGGTTGGAATTGAGAAGAGACTATAAAAATAATGTTGCAAAGTGTAAACTCAGGGTTCATTGAAACTTCAGTACTTTGGATTAACTAAACATTCTCTAGACGTTCTATTTGCGCTTGTACGATTCGCATATCTCCCAGAAAGCAAGGACAGCCACGAGTTTGAATAGAGTTGTCAACTAGGCCCAGTTTCGAGTACAACGAGCTTGCCGAAGCAACACGATGTACCGACGGAAGCGAGTTCTAGCGCTGTTTGATGCGTATCACAGCTCATTAGCTCCTCGAGTGCAAAGAACGTTGGAGGAGGATGGCGATAGTGTATGCGAAAGGCCGGTGGATACACGGTCAATTACAACTCTATGCAGCAAATAGTTTGTAGGCACGATACCTCATTCCAGCACGCTGATCTATTACGCTTTCCTGTCTATAGCGACGATACCGGCGGTGTTGTTCATACAGCTCGAGGCGAATCGAAGACAAGATCGAATTCGAGTAAACCGATTTAATAAGATAAAGTTCGAATTACTTCTCACGAATGCTTGCTCCTTTTTTAAAAGTGGCGATAGAATAAAAATCCTAATTAATTTCTGGCAGCTATCAAGAAAACAAAGATTTCACGAGGGCACTATTTGGATTTACGTTGCAGATCTAAACGCGGACTACATAGACATGTCTTTCGGCAGAGGAGGTCCTGGCACTCCAGGCATGCCTGGCTCTAACAGCAGAACGAAACGAATGAGAACGAGTTTCAAGCATCACCAGTTAAGGACGATGAAGAGCTATTTCGCGATCAATCACAATCCCGACGCAAAGGACCTGAAGCAGCTTTCCCAGAAAACTGGTTTACCAAAAAGGGTGTTGCAGGTAAATAGACTGCCCGTTCATTCGATTTACGATTCTTCGTGCGTTTTTCTAATCTTAAAAAAGACATGTAAGGTAAAAGTATCAATGCTCGTGGAAGTACCCTGAACGTTCTCACTAGTACATTTATAGACGAATATATTTAAACTTTCAACTTTCATACAATATATGTGTATATGTATCTTTTTATAAACTTTTGTGAAAGTTTATATATCCGTATTTAAAGACCAAAGCAATAAAAATGTCCAGAATTAGATATACATCCAAGAAATGATACTTTCATCTTAAAGTCAAATGTCGCCCGCTGTAATCTTTTCTTTGCCATGTCGACCCGTTATACCGCTCTGATTTGTTGTTTCCAATTAATCTAGCTTAATTTATAATCTGACCTTAAGCTATTATATTGTACATACAATTATAAAATACTTCTTGTGCATCAAGCGGCTTTCAATTATTCAACTAGATATGCATAGTCTACTTATTATCAACTAGGTTCAGTTTGTAACGTTTACAAGCTAACATAAATAACGAGAACAATTGCGGCGGGTCAGATGCAAAGACGAGCTGTAAAAAGAAAATTCAAAGATGGATAGTCGGTGGTTCTCGCGCTCGGTTTGCGTTTCTCTCGTTTTGGAAGGGTGCGCCCTATAAAAATATTCACGTGCGCGCGTACACGAGGCTGCGTAGACACGCGTTCTCCTCCCAATTAGTGCGGCGCGTACGGCGCGGCTGCGAAGTTAAAAGAACCGCGCGGAACGGAGCGATATTTCCGTCGACGAACCGCGGCCTTTCTCCGTAATTACGAGCCAGCGTCAATCCGGAGACAGTCAAAATCCTAGCAGCCGGCTAAGTCTCGCCGTAACGTTGGACATGCGCCGGATCGCTCTCGTTAACCTACTACCGTTAAATTATTGGGCTGTTATGAAAGTTTCGCGTGTTTCTTTGTGAAGCGTGTCCTGGGAGCAGCGGCGAAAGAGGAGAACGATTGGATATAGAAGATGTTAGGAATTTAAAGGTTAAAGAAACGAGGTGAGATGAGGTAATAACGATTGGAAAGTGAGGAATTCGGCGAGATGAAGTCCTTATTATGTGCTCTAAAAAGACTTACCAATAGTTCCAAAGTTTTCAACTTTTATGGTTCATTGTTCCAAAGTTTGAAAATTCCGAAGACGATGGTAAAGGTTAAATATGCATTTCCACGAAGCCTATAGGTCATATTCTATTGGCATATTTAACGTTAAGCATGGTCGTCTAATTTTAATATTTAAAGGTCACATGCAACTTCGCCTCGAGTATTAGATAGCCATATCTAGCGTCAAGTATATAGTCAGAATATGAATCTATAACTATGTATAATCTACATTTAATAATCTTTAAAAAAACTGAAAGATTTAAATGGCTCTTATTTGCTGTCTTCTCTCATTTGATTGTATAGCTGAGAATCTTGTTTAATGTATAATTAAAAAAATGTTATTGCTCAGTTATCACCGCCATATTCCTTCCAGTCTCTCGTATAACATTTCATTCCGTTACATTGCTCCTGCTTCTGCGTTCATTCGTTGAGTCCGAAGGAGAGGGTTGGAGGTGGCCGCTATTGTATTCGTAGGGTTCTTGGTCGCCATCTTGTTTGATATTGATCGCGAAACGCACGAACACTCGCCGCGCGCGCACACATGCAATCACACGAGCGCGCGCGCGCGCACGCTCACGTATACCCCAAGTAGAAACACTCGCATCAGTTTGCGAGTTCTTTCGTCGGAAATACGCGAAGGAGGAGACTGTCTTGAAAATGGCGACGCAGATTACACCGTCTTTCATTTATTGGTAAGATGGGGAAATCTCTGTACAAATGCGCGCGCACACAAGTCTGTCTGTGTGTGAACATGAGCAGGAGGTGGATCTGATATCTAACGCCCTGCAATTGTGAGTGCACAAGATGTTCAGAAAGTTTTTCGCAACGCGACATGCACAGCATAACTTCAGTAAATTAAAAATAATATTATACTATTATTATTGTAAAGACGTTAATTAAACGTTCTGTTAAGCCGTAGCACGCTGTCAACTAGTCATGTCCGCAACAAGCAGACGAGCTCGTCAGCACCTTTGACTCCGCACCCGAATGTAACGCCCAACCCTTCCGTTTATTTTGTTCTCAGGTTTGGTTCCAGAATGCGCGAGCAAAATGGCGGCGCATGGTGCTAAAGCAAGAGGGCAAATCTGACAAGTGCGACGGCGGGGTGGACAGTGGTAACCTCGGTGACATAGAACTCTATGGGAACAGCACCGGAAGTGGCGGGCCACCGATGAGCCCGCCCTTCATGCTCGGTGGTCCTCACAGTCCTGCGTCTCTGACGTCTCTGGACTGTGCGTGATTCCTGAGGCCTAAGTTCGTTCTTCCCGACTAGCGTTATCCGCACCTCGTCTTGCGATAAGACCTGCGTGCTTGGAGACGTTCATCCTTCCGGACAGTTTTTCACGTGAGTGATACTTCCCGCGAGTGCGCGAAGACGGCAAATTGTGAATAATCGTAGAGTATGTAAAAACAAGAATAACGTTTCCGCGGTGTCGAGTAACTTAAACGGTAATAGGCGATTAGCGAGGATCGGCTACGAAGCGAGATTAGTGATATCGATATCCGAGTACCCGGGTACTCGAGTCCTACTCCGAAACCCGGCTATTTCGGGTATCAGGTTATTTTGCAAATTACCTGGGTACTTGAGTACTGTGATTAGTGTAGACAGTACCTTAGAAAATAAAAGACTAAATCGGAATTAGCTTGTTGCGAAAATCAAACGGATAGATGTTGCTCGATGATGATTTCTGGTTCTAAGTATCTGAATACTCGGTTATTTCTGATGGTATCCGAGTACCCCGCGAATTCGAGCACCAAATGGATACCTGGGTATACCCAGGCACAGAAACCACCCGAGTTCATAGTGACAGCACTAACCGAAGTTCGAGAAATATGTGGTTTGAAAGTGCTGGACTCGATTATTCTGCTAGTAGTAAATTGATGTAAATCTTAAGAATCTTTCAATGTCGCTTGCCAATTGAGGAATTGGTTTCCTCGAAGATCTTGCTTCGGATCGAGTAGCTAATCAAAATGTTGTAAAGTTAACGCGAACACGCTGATGCGTGGGTTCGTTTAATCGACAGAATCGTTGTATTTATTCTAGCTCGGATTGTGGCCAACTGTCACGAACAAAACATTAAAGTCGTTCGTTGAAGGCAATGTAATTAGTTGCGAGACCTATTTATTCGTCTAAGCCTAACTAAGGGTCGCGATGTTTACCGATACTACGTGAAAATTCAGCGTTTTGAAAGTCCCGAAAGGTTCTGAAGGGAAAGAATCGTCGTTAAACAAAAATAGCTTAACGAGATATTGATGAATACATTATTTGGTTATACACAGAAATTATCAATGAGTTCATGTTATTTGATTCTTGTGCAACACGTTTTTTTTCGTTTCTGTTTGAAACTGGAAAGGGTAACAGACGGAACTGCAACCCACAGATTAATTAAACGCGCGAATGGAACGCTGGATTTTGACGGAGATAATATTAATTATTTATAAACAGAATCGCGAATTGTGTATATTATTGCTCAAGATCAGGCCGCGACGGAAGTGACACACGGTTCGGCCTTGTTATTGTAAATAAAGGACGTTCCTCGTACGTTTCTTAAGGCACCGCTATAGGTTGTAGGGCTCTATTAATTGCATTCGGTAGCGGTCGTGCTTCTCTAGGCGAGAGGTAATAATAGTAATGACGATACGCAGGACTATTGATATTACTGCTCCTACTATTAGTCCTCCTTGTAACGATGCGGAACGATTGTCCAACTTTTGCAAGATCATTTTTTCATTGAATATATTTTGACAATATACATTGCGTGTGTCTGTGTATGTCTCCTTACTTCTCATCCTCTGTATCCTAAGTATTTTAAGTTGAAAGAGAGGCTGGTTATATTTTCATTAGTTTTCTTTAAACTTTAGTATACGTATGTGTGATAAGGACGATTTAAATTTAAAAATATATATATTGATATTGACTGTGTACAACGTATAGTCAAAATTTAAAGAAAATGTTTATGACGTACGCAAAGAAAATAACTAATATTTTTCAAAGGGATTTTGTTTTTTATAGAATGCATTTAACTTGCTTAGTATTTCTAAACACATATAAAGTAGATTATGACGGTTGCATATTACTCTTATTCATAGAACTAGCTTTCGACAACAAAATCCGCCAACGAGACTTTCCACGAAGGAGATTCAATGGAAAGTCGCGTGATGGCGTGCAAATCATGATGGCGAACCAGAATTTCACCTGACAAAAACCAGCACATTGTCAGTCCTGTCTCGCCAGTGGGTTAACTGGATTCGTTGAGCAACGATAATGGAGAAGTATGCCGTGCTCCGTTTGCAATAATGAAAAGAATCGCAAGAAATTTAATATATGCTAAAGCAATACTGAATTTGTAATTTTAAAGAAGAAAGCTTATCGCGAAAAATTATAATCATTATATTCATTTTTGGGCTTTTGTTCATCAAAATTCACGACATGCGGTATTTGCGCGTTTCTTTTGAATATCGCAACATCGGTGATTTGACGGTTCGATTATACGGAGCTATGAAAACGCGATGCGGCCATTAAAGCTGAAATTATATCCAACACGCTGCAGACTGAATTACGCAAAACTGGATACCGATTCTGTGGCATAAATTATATATGCCACAAAAGCGGTATTCTATGCCAACTACTTTCTCTCAACAGATAAATATCCATTGTGAGACGCCATAAACATCTTATTTATCCATTAATTTTTGTAGCTTTTTATCAAAAGAATCCTTATGCTAAAAACGAATTGACATAAAAAAAAAACTAATATAAAATGCCACCTAACGTTCATGTCTCGTAACTTAATATCTCATAACGTTTATAACAATACTATAGAAATGAATATTTTTTCAAAGATTTTTGCAACAATATGATAATGACAAAAATATAATAAAAATAAATATAGACGTTTAATACGAATTTTACGATTGCATATAATAATTATAATTTCTAATGTATTTAACATTTTTTCTATTAGATAATCGAAAAAAGGAAATATCAGTTTGTGTGTCAGTACGTGATATATTTGTCCGTTTCCCACTTAACTTTATTTTTTTTTTACGAGCCGCCGTTACCTTTCTACTCGCCAAGCTTCGAAAAATCTGTGTTATAAATGCTGTTTCACGTGCACGACGCCCTGTTCTGATTTCCACCAGAGCTCTGCGTTCACACAGGATTGCAACGCGAGCGGATATTTCTTTCCTTCGGCCATGCAATATGCATCGAACTGCATTCAGGACGCATAGCAAGCGCGCCGATGCGATTTCAACTCGCGATTATTCGTTAAGTTTCTAAGTCGAAAAAGGATGACGAGAGACAAGAGGAACGGCAGTATAGCGTCATCCCTTGACGGAGAAGGACGCATACTTTTCATCGAGTTCAGCCTTTGTTATTCCCAACAATAGAACGCCTTGCTATACTTTTGTTTCGCGTTGTCACTTTAAAATAAATATGCATTAATCTTCCAACATGCCTTTTCTTCAGTTGTTCATTAATCACTAAGTGTGTATTGTCTTCTCAACTAATTACATTCCACTGTTATTCAATCAACATTTTCCCTTTTTCATTAATCTCTCTACCATCTTTTTTAATCAATAAATTTGAAAGAACGGACAATGTAGCAAAGTTTATTTTTAACGTAAACGTTTCTCGAAAGAAACCTCCGAGAACGTTTTCGACGACGTCTACTCCAGCGCGATTGCCGCCCATTGCATTCGACGAAGTAAATGAGACGTCGGTGTTCGACACCGTCGCACTGTCATCGACGATTTTCTGTTCGTGTAGTACGGCATCGATCATCCGTGTTATCGGTATCTCGATCCTGGAACCGGTCAGAAGACAGTGAGTAAAAGAGGCTTGACATCGGCCATGGGTATCTAGGAATCTTTCGGTCGTCTCCATCACGCCTCATCGGCTTTGAAAATGAACGATCTTTGAATGTGACTGGAACGAACGCGAGTTTGTCCCTCATTGATTCGATAGGAGATCGAAAATAGTCCTCGAGTCCACTGTTACGACTCGTCCCATGAAATTGATATTCGGATAAATAGTTGCAGAGATCTTTTCGAGATCGGCATGCATTGATTTCTTTGATATAAATATTTTTGAAACGAAACTCAACCAGATGAATTATAATATGACTTTTTTAAATGGTCAGTTCAATGGAAAAAAATAATTGATCTTACACACACACATACACACACATACGTTGCTAGAAGTTGCATTAGGCAAAATTTAAAATAGAATTTCGTAATTACCGAAACTGAGAGAATTCAAAATTTCTAAATTAAAAAAAATATATAAATTATGGAGATTTGTATGTCGAGTATAAAAAAGGCAGGAAATCGAGAACGGTTGATTTCGGCACATCAAAGAATCTATCTGAACGGACGACGATCAAAAATACGCAAATAATACGCGAATTAATTAAGGCTCTATTTAAAATGAGTGATTCCGATTGCTGATGCCGGCGGTACGTCGACACAGAACGCGTGTTCAGTTAATTAATGGCCGCGAAGCCACGGTGGGAGTTATGCAAGCTATGAAGATAGCTATGACGAATCGAAGATAACATTGTCGTTATCGTTGTCGAAATTATCGCTACTTTATTTTGATTCGTTGCTCCGATTGTGAACTTTGACGCGTCAGTTTTGACGTTTTTAAGAGTATTATTTCCCATATTTCTCGAACTACAATAGTATTTTGTACTTTGTATTGCAATGGTATCTTGTATTTAAAATATAATTTTGAGAGATTACTTTGTAATTCGTATATTGTGTATCTGAAATAAATATGAAGTGTGCAGCAGTTAAGTAAGTAGTTGAGACATTCTTTTTACTAGGTTCTGCATTGCGTCTATACAATTACTTCTAATTTGTTATATCTTCCCTTCTCCATCTTTAGTCATTTCGACTTCCTTATCACGATAAGCAATCCTGCGGCCCGCTCTTTCTGCAACCGAGAAAGTGTAAAAAGAGTGTCGTTAATAACTCCCGGCAGCGAGGTACGCGACATTATTTCCTGGTGCTAGTCGCTCATTAAACTCCGCTTCCTGATTTTTTAATGCCCCGTTCTTTCGCTACGCGCGGATGCACCTCTCCCGGCTTCACTTTCAGTCAGACTCGTCTCGTCTCGTCTCGTCTTGGCTCGTCTAGTTTTCAAGTACTTCGCTGTGCAACCCATCCGCGAAGCACTCGCACGACCACCCTTTCGCTAACCCCCTTTTTAATGCCCCTACGCTCGAATACCACTCCACAAGAGACCCCCAAGTACCCCCGGCGTGATGCATTTGTGCGCAAGCGGAATTCTTGGGAAGAAGACTCCTTCACAGGGTAGTGCGCAGGAAATAAATCTCTATCAAAAATCAGTGAAACAGTCGTCACTAGAGTGTTGCAGGTTGTCCAGTGCGCATTCAGTGAGCAGAGAAACATCTTAAAGAATCTTTAACATTTAGAAAAATATAATAATTTTAATAAAGCAAAGGTTATATATATTCGTTACGTATACATTTTATAAAATTATTCAGACTGAAGGACCTAGTAAACTAATTCAAACTTAAACTAACTGAAGCTCTATGCGATAATCAATAATTGAATTTAGAATGATCAAATCCTGATTGATGAAACGATCAGTAATACATTGACACGTCTTCTTCGAAAACAGATTATTTAAAAATAATGGATTTCTGCAAATCATAAGCGAATATCATTAGATAATCAGGTCGATCAAACTGTAATTCGGTCAAATCATGATGAACTATGCGAAATTCTTTGAAAGACGTTGGGTCACTGTTCGAGCAGTCCTTTACTAGCGATTTTCTCTTACTCTCTTTCTCCCTCCCTCTTTGAGAGAGAGAATACTCCTATGCACGCGTTTGTGGGATATTTGCGGATTCCGTTTTTCTCTGCCACCCACTGGGTGCCGTTGACGTCACGCCCGGATACCATTCGACAAGGAGCGCCGTTCTTCTGGGCCAATAATTCAGACTTCAAGGCGCGGTTGCGAAGATCGCCGTGACGGAGTATCAAAAGCCACGTGCTCACCCTTCGTTCGTTCCCTCATCCTTCGTCCCTTAGCCAGTCAAAGAGGAGCACAGCGGAGCGAAAGAGAGTCGGAAAAGTAAAGAGAGGCACGGGGGAGAGAGAGAGAGAGAGAGAGAGAGAAAGGAGAGATGCTATTTATTCATACCCTACAGCTCAGCACGTATTCCCCTAAATACGTTGGATAAACTTGAATAGGGTGTATCATAAAAGGCGTATATCAATAGCAGGATCCTAAAGATTTGAAATTAACAAAAGCTAAATTTCCATAAATCTCTAATGTCAATGTTATATACATATTTTAAATGTAAAATTAATAAATGTAAAATGTATAATAAATATAAAATTTGCAACATGAGAGAGACAGAGAGAGAGAGAGAGAGAGAGAGAGAGAAAGAGAGAGAAAGAGAGAATACTCGAGGTAGAGAAAAATTAATTAAGGAAATAAAATAAATTAAGGAAAAGATTAATAAAAGATAAGAAGATCAAACTTCTAACAATTTGTACGTATCAAAGAAAGTGTATAGTTAAAGAGATTATAATTAAAAAATATAAAAAAACACTTAAGTATGCTTTTAAGTACCAGATATCTAAATTCTAAAAGTTTTTATCTTAAATTTAAAAATTCGTCATTAGGTATCTATTATTTATTCATAATTGAAAAAGAAATACATTTTCCTTATTCTTCACCGCGTTCTTCATTCTATAGATACAATATAGGTGTTTT